AAATAAGAAACTATGAAATAAATAAACAAATCTGAAAAAGCAAAGTATATTATCTATATGTAATCCCTTAAACATTCTATATTCACCCTCTCCTCTCCCACATTACAAAAAACTTAATGAAAAATGGTGAAACTTGTTTGTTTGTTTTTTCACACTTTTAATATAGTGTATATAAAAAATTCTTATCTAAACTCAATATGTATAAAAATTTTATATATCTGACAGCGCCTCCATCGCAAATCTATTAAGTTTCATTAAATTATATTGAGAACTTTTTTTGACTAGATTATATTCTTTCTCAGAATCATTTACCTTTAAAAATACTTAGTATTCAAAATATGAAAAAAAAGCCACATATCTCAAGCAGCACACCTTGTAGGGCCAACATTTAAAACAACGTTGATATCATTAAAGATCAACGCTATTTTAGCATTGCCGGGCAACAGTTGCCCTAACAAAGTGTGCTATTTGTGATTTTTATGTATATATATATATATATATATATATATATATATATATATATATATATATATATATATATATATATATATATATATATAATCAATTTAAAATGTATTCTACAAAAAGAGTGCTCAATGTTCTTAAAAGAACAGAGCAACTACAAATTAGTAGAAAATCACTTAGCAAAATTTTTTCTCTTTTAACACTGTGTTTCATCAATAAAGACTCATCAGAAATGCTGATGATGAAACATTTCTGATGAGTCTTTATTGATGAAACACAGTGTTTAATGAGAAAAAATTTTGCTAAGTGATTTTCTACTAATTTATAAATATATATATATATATATATATATATATATATATATATATATATATATATATATATATATATATATATATATATATATATATAAAATAGTACAAATGCATCTAATTTTTTTTTATTTTATTATTATAGTCAGGAACCTTCCTAATGAACTTACTGATGGTTACACAAGTTATTTAAGAAAAGAAATTGGATGAGTGTTTTTACTAATTTACTATTGCTCTGTTCTTTAGGAACATTAAGCACTCATTTGTAGATTATTATAACATAATTTATATATATATATATATATTTATATATATATATTTATATATATATATATATATATATATATATATATATATATATATATATATATATATATATATATATATATATATATATATATATATATATATATATATATATATATATATATATATATATATAATCAATTTAAAATGTATTCTACAAAAAGAGTGCTCAATGTTCTTAAAAGAACAGAGCAACTACAAATTAGTAGAAAATCACTTAGCAAAATTTTTTCTCTTTTAACACTGTGTTTCATCAATAAAGACTCATCAGAAATGCTGATGATGAAACATTTCTGATGAGTCTTTATTGATGAAACACAGTGTTTAATGAGAAAAAATTTTGCTAAGTGATTTTCTACTAATTTATAAATATATATATATATATATATATATATATATATATATATATATATATATATATATATATATATATATATATATATATATATATATATATATATATATATATATATATATATATATATATATAAAATAGTACAAATGCATCTAATTTTTTTTTATTTTATTATTATAGTCAGGAACCTTCCTAATGAACTTACTGATGGTTACACAAGTTATTTAAGAAAAGTTTTTACTAATTTACTATTGCTCTGTTCTTTAGGAACATTAAGCACTCATTTGTAGATTATTATAACATAATTTATATATATATATATTTATATATATATATATATATATATATATATTATATATATATATATATATATATATATATATATATATATATATATATATATATATATATATATATATACAGGCCTTGGCAGGAAGAAATGAGTGCAAGAGCAACAAAAAGCTCTCCTAAAACGCACATAGAAAGCCATGTGAGCTGCTCCTCTAAATAGCTTTTTAGGAGAGCTTTTGGTTTTTGCGCAAGCTATCTGTTTATTCATTTAAAAAAATAATTATTGAATTCAAAATTTTGGTTTTATACTTGTTACAAGTCCATGACGCAATAAATTGTTTTCTTTTAATTAACATTGAAGTTCGTACCTTTATTTAATAATAAACGTCTAATTTAGGAGATATATGTCATTGGCTGTTTTATTTTCAAATAATTTAGTTCTTAGATATATCAATGATGCTTATTGAAATTGATCAATTTTTATTTCATTAAAACTTTTTAAATAAAAAATATAAATTTTTTTACGCTTTTGCAAAGTGCGCACAAATTAATGATAATATGCCATAACCTAACGATTATAAATTGTTATTCATTGATAATAAGTAATTAATTTTTTTTCAAATTAATTTGCTAAAATTATTTACAAATAAAGAATAGTATAAAACTAAAGAAATTAAAATAAAAGGAGCTAAAAATAAAATATAAGTTGTTTTGAAATTCCTTTTTTAAAACTTTAAAAAATGATATCACATTTACTTATATATATAAGTAT